TAAGGCTTATCACAATAAAATCATGTTATTCCAATGACTTATCATGTTGAAACCAAATCTAATCGTATTAGAAGACATGTGGTTCCATGTATATGCCGAAGGCATGCAAAATAAGTAAGAAATAATATCATGATGACTTTAGAATGAGACAAGTTATTATTAGAAAATCTCTTTGGAATAGTGATGATGTTGTTATTAGAATATCTTTTAGGAATTGTGTGATGATGACTTTAATTCCATATTTCAGTAGAATTTTGTAACAAAAAAAAGGAATGATAGTTTATAAAGAAGTGTTGGTAAAATGTTGGTAATGCATTTTCCCATATTTCTTTCAAACAGCCAAACAGTAGTAATGTATTTCCCAAGTTGCATCTAAATACTACCCAACAGTAACAATCTATTTGCAAATAATGTATTACACTAGTAATATATTCCACAGACAATATATATCAAGGTATCCAAACGACCCCTTAGTGTAAAGGATGAAGTTTCTATATGGCCTTGGCTTTATGAAAACAAAATAAAGTCTCATCTCAAATCCTCGTCTGGAAAGCACTTTCGGTAATAGAAGTCTCCATGATGGATCTAAATCCATTTACAACATCGATAATAAAAATAGAAACTAAAAAAATGGTATAGAGCTTGCAAATCTATGAACACTTAATTTTAAGGTGAAATGGACGGTCTAGATAATTTATTATAATATACACGTTTTTTAGGATTAAAATCCTTTTTTTTCTTTTTCACATCTAATAGGTTCAAGCTGAGATTATCAATGTAAAGCTGTTCCGATGCTTTAATTGTAATTTTTTTTTTATAAATTATAAGGTGAGGGTTTATTTATTTTGATAGGACTACTGCCCTATCTAACCATTTTCTTAGAGTAAATAGTAACATTTGTTTTCTTTTTGGGTAAGTGAGTGGGGGAGATGCCTCCTTACTTGTTTTTCATTAAATAATATTAGAAAAAAAGTACATTTCATAGCTTAACATCATGAAGTAAAGGTAGGAAATACAGTCAGGCATTTTAGTGCGCCAAATGGTGGCATCAGAAAAAGCATTGGCTTTTTTAACGAGAGTGTTGGCCACCATATTGGCCTCATGATACATATGTATCATGTGCCACACATGTTCAATAAGTCTTTGTTTGCAGTTGGTAATAATAATGTGAATATGCCATGGGGCTCTGCATCAATCTCGAATGGAATTGACAAGTAGAGATGAATAACTTTCAATTTGTAGAGGACAACAATCTAACTCGATGACAAGATCCACTATGACTTGCAAAGCATGAAACATGTAAACATAAGGGTACCTCCCTAGTGTGAGGGAATACCCAAGTGGACCACACTCCTTTCATGTTTAACTTACGTTACAATATGAAGGAAGGTGGGGAGAGGTTGCACCTCTTCATGAGGGGGTTACCCTCCCATGAATGGCATGCACCATGCACCATAAGTGTGCCCATTCATGAAGATGTTTCTCCCTCATGAATGAGAGGCCATTTCTCTCATTATAAAAGGGAGAGGGGTTGAGGTCTCTACACACCTCACAACACACACACGGGAAAGGTGTGAGAGCTGTGAGAGCTCCTAATGTGAGAGAGAATGTGTAAAATCCCTCTCCCATCCGAGTTTTAAGGAAAGAACCAGCCCTGAGAAATAGAGTTGTGAGTGAAAGTCGAACTAAGACTACTCTTATCGCATTTTGTGAGAGTGTTCGTGAGTTTCCACCTAGCTTGGGATTTGCGGTGTAGAACATATTTCGACAGTTCTAGTAGTTGTCAAACGTGCCTACAGGAGTTGATCAATCCTCTCCACAAACGTTTATCAAAATTGTTGTGCGAGCATTCATGTATGATACCCGGTTCCCAGTTGTTTTATTTTGATTTCGCTTCGGTCGCTGGACCGTATTTTTTTTTCAACATTGGTATCAAAGCCATTGTGGAACCGGGTTTCTGATTGTACCCGTATTATTGTTCCCGCCTTACATGTAAAGGCTTGGCGATGGTTGGCCTATGATGGTGCAAAGTGCACGTGATGGTTATATTAAGACCATAGGCATGTGCACCATATAACCTTATGTACGGACCACACAGTCGTGTTGGCCTTATGCATGGGCTAT